GGAGCACAGCAGCAAAAAAGGAAAAAAAATTTCTAGAAAGCAAAAAAAAAAAAAAATTACTCTTTGCCTTTTCAGGATTTCTGATAATTTTATTCTTAAAAAAATTAAAATAACTCTATTCCATTTCCAAACAATATTTTTCAGAAGAAGACTTGTTAAAAAAAAAAAGGTTAGTTTTCAGATCAACCATCTATCTTAGATATTTTTAAATAATCATGGTTCAAAAGGAGGGGCAGTTCCATCCTCTGTCTCTCTAAGATTTTTGAAACCGCATTATAACCCACTAGTTGCATATGTAGTTTTATTACAAACGTGACTTCCTGCATGGCTCTCAAAGTTAAACCCAGCTAAAAAAAAAAATAAAATTAATCTTTCAATCATTAAGAAAAACCTTAACACAATTAAAAATATACATATATACTCTTTTTAATGCAAGAGTGACGGGTGGCTTCTGGTCTATATGTTATTTTTTCTTTAAAGACTAAATACCAACAGCACGATATGCAGAGCCTTCGTAATAAAAGTTTTTTTCCCCCCTCTATAGTCAGCTTTGGGTCCGTTGTCCTTATCTCAGAGACAGCTCAAAATGCAATTTTCCAGCCTCTGCTAGAAAGCAGTCTCAAGCTCCAGAAAGGCCCACGTCTCAGAGACTGGTCATGGTGGTTTGGACAGCATAGGTACCAGCACCGCTATGCATTCCTGCATTCTTCACATTGCGCTCATGGACAAAAGCGGTGTACTGTCCGTCTGCAGCGCGGGTCCTCGGCGGGGCCCACGCGTCCCACAGGTTTCCACCACGTTGACAGCGGTCGGCAGCGTCAAAGGGCCTGGATTATTGGGGAGCGGGAGGGGGCACAATTAGTAAACAGGTATGGATGAGAAAGAGGGTGGAAAAGTAAAGCAAAGGTAAAGACAAGAAGATTGATGTGAAAAGGCAAGGAAAAAGGGCATTGCTGGAAGGTAAATACTGAAGGAAAGAGGCATGCAAGTATACGTGTACATGACGATACTGTCAAATAAACCCCTTTTCTGCTCAGTATCATGCACGTTTTTGCAGAAGTCTGAAATGACAGGTTAAGTTATCTCATGTATACGTTGTCTACACTTACCAAATGAAAAGCACTTCATATTTCAAAGCACTTCACAAAACTGAGCAAGAACTATGCACGTTTTACAGATGGGAGAAAATAACATGATGGAGGCACAGACCTCCCAAGTATACAGCGCATTTTATTTGCAGGAAGCTGAAAGGGTTTAAATGGCAGCTCTAAATGTACACCTGAAACAAGCATCTATAAGCAACACCAGTTTTCAAAGTCACTGGAAAATGCTGATTCTAATGCAAGTTAAAAAAAAAGAAAGGAGAAGAAAATAGAAACTCGGAGAAATGAGCGTTACTGTGCAGGAGCAAACAGTAGAGCACACACAAATCATTCACAACTTAGTTGACTAAGGGACTAAATACTACTGAAGAAGCTGACTGTAGCTATACTTGATTAACATTTTAAAAAAGGTCACAATACAAACTAAGACCCTGCTTTCAAATTTTGCATATGAAGGCATAATGGTTCGTAAATTTTAAATTTTGAATTCTTAAAATCAAAACCACAGAAATGCCGTGCACAGTTATGGCTAGTCTATACCACAGCTGGAATAAAGTTCTCCAAAAGCTAGAAAGAGGAGCAGGGGAGAACACTCATCACTTTAAACAGTGTTTTGAAAAGTATTTTGATGCAGGAGCTCTCAGCTAGAAAACAGTAAGGCTTTAGACAAAAGCATCTCCAAAGCAGCAGGGCTAAGCAATTTACTGAAACAGTTGAATTTTAAAAGACATTAGAAAATAGACAAAGATCTATTAACTGTTGTCTGTGTTGTACTAGGATCCTTCACTGGTATGTTTTGGGAGAGGCTGATGCAAGGTACAGCCAGGTATCAAAAAAGGTGCTTGGAAAAAAGCACTCTCATAAACTACTCAAGCAAGGAAATTTCTGAAACAAACGTATTCCTTCAGTTTAATGTAAAATTCTCTATTTAATGACCCAAATCTAAACAAAGCGGAAACGTTGTTGCTGTTCATCTAGAGGGGTCCTGGACAGCCCCCAGCTCAAATTCCACCTTCTCATGTTCCAGAAAGCCCGGTTTAACACTCCCAGCCCTGCCAGAACAGCCAAGCAGCCAGTGCATGAGTTGGAAGATCACACGTGTTAAGGCAGGGAAGCAGAAAAGCATGCAGGATTCACAACAGCAGTAAATGATTAACACTCAGGGATAGTCCTCCTTTAGAAAAGAGAGAGGATTTATATAAAGGTCACCCATGGGTAAATTCAGAGTTTTGGTTTTTGTGAAACATGCTGAGGAAGTGACCCATGAATACTGAAGGCTCCAATCCTCAACAGTTACGTTATTTTCCCATTTCTCTAATTTAAGCAGTTAAGTGAAAGCTACATCCACTAGCAAGCAAAAAAACCCAACCAACCAACCAAACCCACCCCTACTTATTCCATAATATGGAAAAAATTATTAATCCTTTGTCTCCTGTCCTATCTCAGCACAGAAACAGCTTCTTGAGAAAAGACTAAAGCTAGAAAGACGCTGATTGTGTTTTAGGCTTCCCAGCCTTGCAGCTAATATTCCAGACCATTTTCAGTCCATCCAGACCAGCAGTTTTCCTGTACTGACAATTTTACAGGAATGGAGCAAAGGGGAAAAAAAAAAAAAAAACCCCACTAAAATCCTTCCTATCTGGCAAAGTACTGTCTACGATCTGGCACAATTGCTGTTGGCAGCTGCAGCAGTAACATTTTAAATTAAAGGAAACATTGACATTAGGAAGGGATATAAGCTGCAAGGTAGCCAATACGGGCATCTGCCAAGCAGAGTACGGAAACTCAAGAGGTCGGGACCTTACTTCTAAACCCCTTCAATTTAACCATCTACAAAATCCCCAGTCCAAAAGATTTTGGTGTCCTCAACAATCCTTGGCAAACTCTCTCTAAAAGAAGACTATTTTTCTGACAGGAAGCAAAGATAATTCATGCAGAAACAGGCCAATTAAGGACAGCAGCAGTTGAAAAGAGATTTTGTTAGTGGCATCGAGACATCAAGACTTGAAGGCGCAATAGCCAAGTCACAGCCCCCACAATAAATAGGTATGTTCTGGCAATTATATTAGCCTAACCCCACTTCCCATCTAGGAAACCAGAATGTAGCTCAATTGCTGACTCAGCTCCAAACTGTTGTCTTCTTCCTACAGCTGGATTTGCCCTTAATTACAGGCAGTACTGTTTCCAGTGAACACAATAAAACCCCTTTGCCAGAAGACAACTGCCTTCAATAATAATGATATGTCTCTAAGAAATGTAACACATACGCAGTACAAGCATTACTCTCTCAATTAAAACTCATCAATTGCCAAGAACCATATGTTCTTTACAGCATACTGTTTTGGGTTACATGCAGGTGTATTTTATGTTCACTCCCACTCTTATATAGAAAAGCTACATACTGCGGCAGCTGGCATGTAAGCTTAGACTCCTTGACAATGTTAAGACAGACAGGCTCAAGTTCTTAATCCTAAAAACAAGCGTACCAAGACCAAAACTGAAACAGATTGGCTACAGAGTCCTCTCTGCTTCTGAACAAAAGCAACAGGATTTCAATAAGCAACAGAAGTCTTGCAAATACTAGCAAGAACGCTAGCACGAATCAAGCACCCAAGAAGAGCTGTTTGGAGCAAGAGTCAAACATTTCCACCAAAGGAAATACCGGTTTCTAGCACGCATCTTGCAATTAGACCAAAAGAACAAAAATAAAACCATACTGAGAATGCTGAAGAATAAAGAAACCACCACCTTTCACCCACCACCACGGAAGGAATCGAGCGATCAACAGGATCTCACCATAGACAAGCACAGATTTCAGATACTAGACAAATCAAGGGCAAAAGAAAGAAAAACAGCATTGATCATATGTTCTGATTGAAACTTCAATAAAATGCAACAGATAAAGCAGAATTATCATCCCCCTTATAATCTAAAATCCATAGTATTAAAAGTCTTTAATCAATAAGACATACAAAATTAAAGTACATTTGCCATTGCACTTTCAGAAACAGGTATCATCTACTTTTAAGAGATACTGAAGCAAAGTAGGTTCATATGCCAGGCAATGGGAGAAGGATCTTTTCTTTTGAGGGCTGAAAATGCTTAGGATAAGAGCTTTTGTGTCACTCCATTCCATCACTGCTGCTCCTGGAGAGTCTTGCAGAAACCAGAATTACCCTTCTACGATAAGCCATACTGCCTCTGAATGCACAAGAAGCTGAAAAAGTTAAGACAATGTGTGCACAAGTACTGGGTTGATATATGTCAGTTTTGGTTTTGAAATAGCTTTGCAATATAGAATTACTTTAAGAAAAGATAAATTATATGGTACATTTATCTTCAAACAAATCATCCTCATTTTGAGATGCATCCAATCCATAAAACAAATACTCTGATTACATGAAATCAAAGCTCTTATCTTCAGCTTGTGTCATTCTCCTCAAGCTTCCATTCTCCCCGAGATAATGAAAAAAAATCAGCTTACTCATTTCAAAAGGTTCAAAAGAGATTCACAAGGATACCGGTTTACAAGGTTCTACATTTTATTAAGGATCAAGATAAGTCCTTGGGCCCCATGATACCAAGCAAAGGGTTACAAGGAGTATTATGACACATCAGAAGGACCCAGCTCTCTCCAAGACTTGAAATGCTGTTCCTGATTTAATCATTTTTTCAGCCCCTGAAGAAATTTTCTTCTGGTTGGCAGTGTCTAAGCCTGTTGTCCTCACCTCCCCACACTACATTCACAGCAACAAATCAGCTGCATCATCACTAACTTGACTGTCAACTTACGTTAAAGGTACAAGGAAGGTAGCTTATTTAAGTGCAGATAAAGAAACAGTCACTTAAATCATGCATAAGCAAGCAAAATTCATTTCCCAGCAAAGCAGAACATACCACTTCTTGTCTTGCTGGCTGGCTCCTGGGCTCCTTGGGAGGTCTTCTATTTCCACTAAGACTGGGGCAGAAGGAACTGCTGTTAGGACAGGTAGGTTTGGCTTTGCATTCCAGCTCTTTGGAGACAGAATATAAACAAGTAAGTTACTATACACACATTAATGAAGCGATGACATATTATACATAACAAAACATATCACCACTTCTCTTTAAGCACAAAGCTAAAACAAGGCTGTTGTCTTCCACTGCTTCCACAGCACTGGATGCCTATGCACAGTCTTTTCCAGTACTGCACACAGTATTGGGATCATAATGAATCCAAGGCTGCTCAAAGATTTCAGTAAAAAGCTATGGCCTGCTGTGCCTATGGCCTGCTGTGCCCTGTCCTAGTTTCAGCTGGGATAGAGTTAATTTTCTTCCTAGTAGCTGGTACAGTGCTGTGCTTTGGATTTAGCATGAGAATAATGTTGATAACACACCGATGGTTTAGTTGTTGCTGAGTAGTGCTTACACTAGTCAAGGACTTTTCAGCTTCCCATGCTCTACCGACTGAGAAGGCTG